GTACTCCTTCCTTCCTTCCCCTTTAGCTCTGTAACAGTGTGAAAACTGTTGGTAATACCTGTCTGTCTGTCCTCGTGCAATTTATAACATGGAGTATGCAAACAGTGGGTACCTTTTCCCACTGGAGGAGGAGTGTGCTGTTGACTCCATACACACGCATGTAGGCAGCCTCACTAAATGTTGGGTGCCAAGTGAATCCTCTCCACTGAAGATGTACAGATGTGCTTTAGCTGGAAGTAAATGCACAGAATGATTTAGGGAACCTGAATCAGCCAAACTTCAAAGCAAACTTCTGAGGGTAAGACTCGCTTGCCCTTTGCAAGCCTAATCCAAAGAATGTTTTGCCCACAAGCGTAGTATCTTACCAGGCCCACAGCAGAGCTGTTGTAGTCTTTACTGGATGGAGATAATAAGTTTGGGAATGCCTTTCAGTGAGTGCCACAAAGAGCTCTTGAAGGCAGGAAAACACTGGCTTTCTTACTGGTACGGATGGTGCAAGGAAGAGGGGAAAGGAGGGTGGGAGGTCTGGGAAGGAGACAAGCCGCCTGTTATCTGAGAAGGATCAGAAATGAGTAGGTGGCAAGACCAAAGAAAGAATCTCGAGATCAGCACAAAGGAGATCAGCCAGGGCTGTAATTACGGTGATGTAAGTGAGAAGGATGAGAGGGTGGGAGGGTTGTGTGGTGGGATGTTCAGAGCAAAGTAACGGAAGAGACATGCAAACAGAAATGATTTTAAGATACTGTGAAAGTTTGGGGGTCGGGTTTTTTTGTGTCCATGAACACTTCAGCACACAACTGATTGTTAAGGTGGACCTCTAACCTGCATTTTGGCTTGGACCTCATTTGAGCGGTGAAGTGAAGGCCATAGTGTTAAGTTGCTCCTCTTCCCGGGCTTGTACACAGCAGCAGGCTTCTTATGGCTTCACTGCTTAGGATTTAGCTGAGTTCTGCTATCTCCTCTAGCCTGCTGAATGGCAAATTTGTAAAACACTTTAATAGTAAAGAGCTTTAGGAGTACCGTGACCTGGTGCTGCAGTCTTTGATAAATTATCCTGGGATGCCCCAAAGCATGTGGCTATTCCTGAAGAGTTGCAGAACTGTCCCCAAGCAGGATTTTGTTTCAGTTGACGTGGCCCACCATAATGCTTGAAGCAACTTTTATTTGTTGAAGAAATAACTTGTACTTATTCTGTCCTTTGGAAATCAACTGAGAGTAGCATGAAACCTGATCATGCTAAAAATTAGTTTGGGAGAGGCCAGGAGGGAAGGGGAAATGAGGAAAGCTAAGATTAAGGACAATGTAAAGGTCAGCTGTTGAGCACCTTTCAGAAAGGTGGGTATTTTCTTGTTACTTTAAGCATAATCTTCTAGGAGACTTGTAAGCAGTGTTGTGTTGGAAGTGGGGATTCCTGATTTCCTATCCGATTTGACTTCTGAAAATAAAACAAGCTTATGTTTAGCATCTTATGAGTATTTTAAAATCACCAAGGAAATAGAAGGGTACTAACAAAATTTCCTCTTGATTGTTCTGCAGTGAGGAAGGAGTTAACTAGTTATGACTTGCTATGTACGGTAATTGTAACAGGCAGTTGCGAAGTCCTCACAGACTACATAATTTAACGTTGTGTTTTGGCATATCTTTAAGAGCTAAAAAAAAGTGATAGAGAAGCTTAACAGACATTTGAAAACCTGTGAGAAGTGTATTTGTGGCTTGCAAAATTCCATGACAATTAGCGTTTGGATTAGCAAAGCTTTCAAAAATGAGAAAACTTGACTAATACTGATTTACAATCAGAAGTACTTAAAAGGATCAGATTAAGACTGTGTAACATTAAACAATTTCCTACATGGAAATTAGAGCCAAATTTCAGGGCAGAAATTATTTTGGGTAGTGTTGCAACAAACAATTTATGATGGGATTATCTTTTCCTTATTACTTAGAAATAAAACGGAGTGAGATTGTGAAAGCAGACTCTAAAGTGGTCCGATCTGCAGCCAGAGTACTGGGGAAAAGAACTGTCTGATGACTGTGCTCATGGTTGACCACGGGTTTCTGGCCAGCATCTTAGAAAGGAGATGCAAAGAGGATGTGGTACCTTGCTTTGAGACGCATGTTTTTTCTAACCTGGCTTGTCCAGTGCTCTTGAAATTGCTGCTGGAGTCGTTGAAACAAATGAAGTGAACGTTCCACCCCTTTCCATGCCCCTTGAAGCTTTAAGGAGAGCCTGGAGCACTTGTGGAGAAGTAAGCGTGTGTGAGAATTTGTGTGGTGATGGTGGTGCAGAGACATATCCTGATTTGCTCTAAAGATTATGTTTTATGTTTCCTGCATGAGCCATGGTTCCCTGTTCCTTATTTTGCCTATGAACGGTGGCCTTCAGCATAGGCAAGAGGGACAGAATGAACAGTAGCAGATTTGCAGGACCGAAACATTTATGTTACTGAATACTTCCATTAACTTCAGCCTTTTTCAGATAGGCACAGATATTTCCAAAGTCAAGGGGTGCAGCCCTCAGGCCGATCCCCCTCCTGCAACTTAATTCAGACCGGGGTGAAAGATCGAAAACCTCCTGTCTTTCAGGCTCTCTGGCAACAAGAAGAATGCCACGAAGAGCAAACCTGGTGAAAAGCTGCCTCTCGTTTAGGTGGCAGGTACAGAAGGGCACTGACACCTGCTGGGAGAGGT